CAGTGTCCAACTTGTAAACTTTCAAGTGGTGTGTTTTTAGAAATGACATTTATAATTGGAACGTTGGTTAATATTTGATTATCCTCAGAATGTGTGTCTCAACAGGGGTTCCTCACATTGATACAAATACAATTATAATCAATCACATTAGATAAAGGTTCACAGAAAATAAATGAGAAATGCTAATTCCCATTAACACCATTCATGCATCTTATTCTCCCAGCTTTTTTTTTTTTTTTTTTCTAATTAAAATCAGGTCTGTGTTTTTCCTCACTTTTTAGCTATTATTTATTCTAATTGGAAATAATGTAATGATTTGGGTCTCAGTAGCACGTGGGTCTCATTGGCACTCTGCCAGGCGTTGTGCTGATCTGAAAGAGCACAAACCATGTAAAAAATATATTTCAGCAAATCCCAACATAGCATAGCATGGGAATTGGCTACATGCAGTTAATGAACTATAGAGTGGCGGCGCCGGCGAGTTGTTTAGCTCACCTGCACAGCTGACAGTTTATCCACCACCTGATTAGAATTCTCTAATTGCATGTTAACGAATTGTCCTTGTTATATATTGCCTCGGAGATACAATAAACAATGACATGCACTTTAACAATTGCTGACACTACACATCCAAGTATATCTGACCAAATTATGAAAGACAAGCATTGTAATTTTGAATTCCGTAAAGTGTGTGTGGAAGAGGTGAAAAAATTATTGTTGTCTATTAACAATGACAAGCCACCGGGGTCTGACAACTTGGATGGAAAATTACTGAGGATAATAGCGGACGATATTGCCACTCCTATTTGCCATATTTTCTATTTAAGCCTACTAGAATGTATGTGTCCCAAGGCTTGGAGGGAAGCAAAAGTCATTCCGCTACCTAAGAATAGTAAAGCCCCCTTTACTGGCTCAAAAAGCCAACCAATTAGCCTGTTACCAACCCTTAGTAAACTATTGGAAAAAATTGTGTTTGACCAGATACAATGCTATTTTACAGTGAACAAATTGACAACAAATTTTCAGCATGCTTATAGAGAAGGACATTCAACAAGCACAGAACTTACACAAATGACTGATGATTGGCTGAGAGAAATTGATGATAAAATGTATGCACGCATGACTGTAAGTCGCTTTGGATAAAAGCGTCTGCTAAATGGCATATTATTATATTATTATTGTGGGGGCAGTTTTGTTAGACTTCAGTGCGGCTTTTTAGGCCCCTTACTTCTTTCCATCTTTACTAACGATATGCCACTGGCTTTGAGTAAAGCCATTGTGTCTATGTATGCGGATGACTCAACACTATACATGTCAGCTGCTACAGCTACTGAAATAACTGCAACACTTGAATAAAGAGTTGCAGTTCGTTTTGGAATGGGTGGCAAGGAATAAGTTAGTCCTAAATATTTCCAAAACTAAAAGCATTGTATTTGGGTCAAATCATTCACTAAACCCTAAACCTCAACTAAATTTCGTTATGAATAATGTGGAAATTGAGCAAGTTGAGGTGACTAAACTGCTTGGAGTAACCCTGGATTGTAAACTGTCATGTTCAAAGCATATTGATACAACAGTAGCTAAGATGGGGAGAAGTATGTCCATAATTAAGCACTGCTCTGCCTTCTTAACAAGGTCCTACAGGCCCTAGTTTTGTCGCACCTATACTACTGTTCAGTAGTGTGGTCAGGTGCCACAAGGAGGGACTTGGGAAAATTGCAGTTGGCTCAGAACAGGGCAGCACGGCTGGCCCTTAAAAGTACACTGAGAATTAACATTAAATACATGCATGTTAGTCTCTCCTAGCTTAGAGTGAAAGAGAGATTGAATTCATCACTGCTTGTTTTTTTAAGAGGTGTAGACAAGCTGAATGTACCGAGCTGTCTGTTTGGAATGCTAGCACACAGCTCGGACACCCATGCATACCCCACGAGACATGCCACCAGAGGTCTCTTCACAGTCCCCAAGTCCAGAACAGACTACGGGAAATGCACAGTACTACGTAGAGCCATGACTACATGGAACTCTATTCCATATCATGTTAAAAAAAAAGAAGATAAAACTACACTTTATGGAACAGTGCGGACTGTGTAGAGACACACACACACACACACAGGCACACACACAACATTCGCAAACACATGCTAACACACGCACTCCACACACACACATTTTAATATTGTTATTTTGTATTGTAAATATGTTATGGTAGAGTAGTGTGTAATAAGGTGTTGGGATATGTATTGTTTTATTGTATGTAAATTGTGGTTGGACCCCAGGAAGAGTAGATGCTGCCTTGGCAGCCGCTAATGGGGATCCGTAATAAATACAAATAAATCCAAACTGGCATTTGTATAGGCGGGGTCACGGGGAAGACAAGGAAGTGAGAGAAAACAAGGTCCTCTGTGCAACATGCTACTGCTACTGTTTCCATGGAGTTAGGGTATTCAGTGGTAAATACTGTGAGATGATAATTACAGTTGTCAATTATCACTAATAGCAATTAATAGCAACAAATTAATTAATAACTAATTACTTTGAAGTAATTTTTTATGCCTTCATCTTCACAAAGTAATGTCTGATGTGCAAGAACATGCAGGCGTGTGCAATAAGCAATGTGCCACTCAGCATCATGTGTTCCCATATAATCCTTAGGCAGCTTTATGCTCTTATAAACCATCTGCAAGGGAAGGGTTACCTCCTATTGTGCAGTACCACTGCATTTCAATTAAGAACAAAGAAAATAATGCATACTGATTGAAGGCCTTTGGTCTCCGTGTGTGCACCCTTAGCGGCATTGGCAGAAAGCGGATGTTGCCGGTTTTCAGGGATCCAGTATTTTCAACCCAACTTCCGCCTTCCCCTGAAAAACAGAAGTGGGGACGTCTTTCTACGCCTACCATGTTCGGTTACCGTGTGTGATCTGTCGCTTCAGGTCAGCGTAAAGTAGATTAATTTACAGGTCAACTCAGTTGTTCAGTTTTTCTATGAAAATGGGCTCATTTTGCAATCAATAACCGAATATTACATTCAGCTGTGATTGAAATTCCAACCCAAAAGGCACTCTGACATATGACACATTTAGCTGGCTGAGTGGCAATTTGCCTATGCTGGAATCAGACCCATTTGTCTGCACTCTGCTACAGCGTAAAGGTAGAGCAGTATTACTCTCTCTCTCTCTCTTTCTCCCTCTAGTAAATGGGGCATTTTACATATTGAATGGCTACTTTTCTCCAAAGTAATTGCGTTGTGTTTTGGAAAGATCAAATCTGTTCCCCTCTGGTTTGATTGCCGTCAAGGAGAGGGAGGCACTATATGGCTGCGTTTACACAGGCTGTGCAATTCTGATCTTTTGGTCAATTATTGGCAAAAGAGCTGATCTGATTGGTCAAATAATTTGTGGAAAAGGATCAGAATTGGGCTGCCTGTGTCATCGCAGCCTATGTACTAGGGAGAAAGAAGAATATGTGTTTCATTCATTACATCCAGTAGTTCCAGACCACCCTTTACTGAAACACAGGAAGAGATCTACAGCTTGATTATTCCAAGGAAATAATTCAGCAATGAAATTAAGTAATGCGTTTTCTCCATTAAAACAATTATGCTATAACATATTTAATTAGCATGTCAAACTCGCCCGTTTGGGAATGCTGTGAAAAATGCATTACGCTGACCTTCAAACATCTTAAGATGATTTTCCACTAACACTATTATGGATACAATGTTTTATAAAGGGGGAGGGGAGATAGCAGGAAGCATCTGGGGTGGTTTTGCATTTCAAAGACAAGCCAAAAGGAAACATTTATGAGACAATATTTAGCTTCTTTACAAACTGAGGGGGAACTAATTAGTGTAAAGCCACTCCGTCCACTGTATTAAATCTATAAATGTTTTATTATAACACATTTCCCTCTACGAGGTCCATCATTTGAGACACAAATGGCAAGATGTTCAGTATCTCTTGTTTAATTAATTTATTGATTTTATTGTATGTATAGTCTTAGATCCACCCACATACACACATCTCTAGGTAATTAAAAGCATCTCACATAAACCTGTACTGGACAAAATAATTTAAGTATATTCCCTATAGGGCTACATACTATATAAAAAATACTATGAGAAAGGAAATAGTTTACTGCTTAAAATCTACCTCACAGGAGGAGGCTGCTGAGGGGAGGACGGCTCATAATAATGGCTGGAACAGAGCAAATGGAATGGCATCAAACACATGGAAACCAGGTGTTTTATGTATTTGATACCATTCCACTGACTCCGCTCCAGCTTTTTCCACGAGTACGTCCTCCCCAATTAAGGTGCCACCAACCTCCTGTGATCTACAGGTACTGTACTATACAGTAATTCATCTCTAAAGAAGTGTCTACTGTTTTTATATGTTCTGTAAAGTCTGTCCTAAGTATTTCCTCTGCCTTTCCTCACCTAAAAGCATCACTGGAGACAATATGTCCTCATTCACTCCCACCTCGTTAGCTAAGAGAAAAGCAATACTTTCTACCTAAAATCACATGGTGGGAGAATAGCTTGCGGCAAAAAACTCCAAGTCTTTAGTCTGTGTTCAGAGAGAGATTTGTTTCCAGGTAGGTAGCTCTGCACACAGTCTGTCCACCACATACGGGACACCACTATTTAGTTTCTTAATCCTCCCTAAGCCCCTGCTAAAACCCCAGGTGAGTTGTGCATCCGGAAAAACAACAACTGGCTCCATTAATCACACTAATGTTCTTTGTATTTTTAACCCTTCCTATTTATCAGACTGAGTGAGCGTGACGACGGGGCTCAAATCCCCATGCCCCTCCCAACACCCAGGGACCACATTGATTCATTGTCTATATGCTTCCCATCACTCCATGCTCCCCTGTTGTGCGCCCTCCCTCCCCCTTCCTCCCTCTCCTACCTTCCCTACTTTTCCTCCCCCCTCACCTCACTCCCCTCCCTTATTCCCTTCCTCACCATCATCCACTGCCACCTTCCTCTTCTCCCAATAGGACTTTGGTGATGATGGCTCCCTTTACATCACCAAGGTGACAACCATCCATATGGGGAACTACAGCTGTCATGCGTATGGATATGAAGAGCTCTGCCAGACCCATGTACTGCAGGTGAATGGTTAGTAATGGCATATACTTGACATTTCACTGTCCTTCCATGGTCAGATTTTAGTTTGGCATGTGGTCACCAGAATTTTGACCTGACTAAATGTGTAATAGTTGCAGTTTGCAATCATCGCTGCGTTCTACGTTACATTCCTTTTTTGTTTGAATAGATAACACATATTTAGATAAAGTTAGATGCTTTTGTGGAGGAGGGACAGTTAGAGTTGCCTTTCAGGGTCACGACTGGTAACCCCTGCCTCAGACTGTAATGACAGCAACAGTATTCAAATCACAAAATATGGCATTGATTCCAACATGTCCAACATACTATGATAGAAAGCAAATTAAGCCTATATGCATGGCGTTCTATTCACCATACTCAATTGATTCCACCCTGAGCATGTAAACCGTTTTAGCTACAGTACATCAAATAGCCAGCAGCAAGCAGCACAGAGGCTGCAGACATTTATCAAAGCACACTGCTTGACAAACTAATTTGCATAAGTATTTTTTCGCTGAGACGACGTGTGATTACCGGGCCTACCTCTTCATTGAGGACCTTGAGAGAGCCATCTGTACCGTATCAAATCAAAGATAATAATCGCCATTCTCAGAGCTTTGATTCATTCCATATGCAGATATGCATAGAGTAAAATAGCCTGAAATGATTTTCAATTAACAGGGACAATAGGTGGGATTGCGTTGTGTTGTAAGGCAGGATTTTGGCTAATTGAAAAACGATACAGCTGCATCTGAGACCTGGCTTCAGCTGAAGAGGGAGATAAATGTTTGCTTCCTGGAAGGCAGGTTATCTTGGAAGACAATTACCATGTATTTCAATTGTCCTTTTATTTGGTCTTATAAACATGTACAGTGTTTTGTGCTAGACTCTGTTGTAATGCAGTGCCTGTAGCTATGTGTGTGGTACTGGTGTGAAACAAAATCCTTTCTGCCTGTGTGCCTGCTGTGCCCCCTGTGCCTGGTGTGTGTGTGTGTGTGTGTGTGTGTGTGTGTGTGTGTGTGTGTCTATAACATCCTGCCGCTCCTATCAATGTTTCTTTGTGATTGTGCCTCCCTGACTCCTCTCTCTTGTGGCTGTGTGCGTGTGTCTCTCTAATTGCATGTGTGTGTCTGTGCATGTGTGCGTGTTTCTGTATATCCAGTTCCCCCAGTGATCCTGGTCTACCCAGAGACGCAAGCCCAGGAGCCTGGTGTGTCTGCCAGCCTGCACTGCCACGCCGACGGCATCCCCAACCCCAAGATCCTGTGGCTGAAGAACGGCATGGACCTGCAGCCCTCCAAGCAGCTCTCCCTCATCGGTAAGGCACCAGGCTGCTGCTGCCTACACTGGCAAGACTGAGTGCATCCCAAATGACACCCTATTGCCTATATAGAGAACTGGTTTTGACCAGGGCCCATAGGTAACATATAGGGGTTAGGGTGCCAATTGAGACGCACCCTGTTATTACCATCACAGCAGCTGCTGTTTACTAGACACACCATTATGCAGGGAACCATGGAGGTGTTGCTATGCTAGGTGCCAATGTGTGTCACACCCTCCTGTGTTGCCAAATCCAAGATTATGGTGACCGTTTTGATTTTTGTTATTTTGTCAGTTGATTGCTTAGGCCACTGATTTTAGAAGAGTAAATATCCAATCCAAGAACATAAAGAAATAGATGGAACAACAGTGTGTGAAAAGGAAACATACAGCAGACAGCCATGTTTAATGGAAGTTTCAGTTTCCGAGGGGACAGAAGTGAGCGTCTTTTATGGAGTAACCCTCATTAGATGGCAGTTTATAGGCTGTGTGTGGGTCATTACCTGTGATAATAGCCTGTTATCAGGCTTCAGATGCAGCTCAAACAAGGGAGGTTCTGCAAGCTTCACATATACATTAACATCCTGCAATCCAGCTTCACGAATCTGCCAACTCTCACTCTCACACACCAGTTTAGAGTTGGCAAATCCTTGAAGCGGGATTCTAGGATGTTCATTTAATTGTTATTTCATCTGATGATATCCTCATACCTAGTAAGGGTTTAACAGAGTGCTCAAACCTTAGAGTCTACAGAATGTGGTTGTTTTAGAGAGTGACACTCTTCATGCATTTTCCCTGAATTTTTCAACATTGGATCAGTAAATAGATTTCCAACTCAGAGGCTAATATTGGCCTAATGGAGCTCACAATCTTTCCTGACAGTACTCACTAGCTATGTTTCCATCAAGTTGTCCAGTTAGTTTTTTGTTGACATTTAGAAAGTTTGCATAGAACATAGATGTGACAATTGACTACTATGGTGCATTTGTGTCAATAATAACGGCTGGAGCTAATGACGTCCAAAAAATCTAGAATGTCAAATAAAAATGAAGTGGTTGAAATGTTTCCTTTATCCATTAAGGGTAAATTCCGCATTAATAAATTGGCGACAGCCTGTATGCCCTCCCACCTATCTATTTCATGTCTCAGGTAGCCCGCAAAAGCCTAAATGGATTTGACTGATATTTGCCATATTCTAATAATTATCATGTGCCAACGTATCACCACGGTCCGTGCCATGGTGAAACTTGCACTCCTGTAGATCTGAAATAATTGGATGGTGAAACAACCAGAAAAGCAAGGCGAAGCAATTCAGGCATTCTTGAAAGTCAGGACATTGATTCTGCAAATAAATATTATTTTTATAGTTGAACAGCAGATTTAGGGAGCAGTAGGCATTTAGAAATAAATGTGGAGTGGAGGTTCATAGTTTCGTGATAACATCACGTGCCCCGCGTCCCTTCAAAATTATTCGGCAATCATCATTTATTCGAAAAACACTGTTTCCATCATCATTTGTCACAATAAATAAAGTTCAACAAAAGAAGTTAGACCAAAGAAAAATCCACCCCTACTGAACTTATAAAAATGTTGTCGATCTTTAGAAAAGTATTCTCCTATAGCTGCCGTTTCCATTACACATTGCAATGTAATTTTTTTGTACATTGCTTTTGTCAAATATACTGCCTGTATGCTGCCAGGATCCCCTCCATTTACAATGGGAGTGTTCAATAAGCTCAACTGTTAGGAATAGGTGCTCTCCAAGGGCCTGACTGTTTAGTGCTACTGATGGTGCTCACAAGGTCCTGACTGCTTAGCCCAACTGGTGGTGCTGAATGGACAGCTGTCATGGGGGCTATTTAGGAAGGCATAACATTGCAGAAATCAGATAGAAATGCATTGGGTAGAACCAACATTATCCTCTGTTATATGGAATATTGATATATATCAGCTCTGTATATTTGATTTATATCTGACACATTCTGAACATTTCACCTCACTAAAACCTCCCACTGACTCCCTGACGCCACACAGTTCTACAAATCTGAAAATCACAATATAATCTCTCTGTTCCCTTGTTACTAATTCAACACAAAAACAACATTTTAAGTGAGAAATAAATGCCTAACTATAGGCAAATTATTAATTGAGTGGTTATGCATTAAAATGGATCAAGGCATAATTATGGATTAGATGCAATTACGACAGTGTCTGGTGTTTAATGTGGGGAGGCACACACTTTACATCATTACGTTTCTCCTCCCTGAAGAGTAGTTAGAAAAGTGAATTTGAACACAAACTACTGTAACAACATCATCCATTTAACTGTGCATTTCACTAATATGAGGTACAGTGGCTTGCAAAAGTATTCACCCCCCCCATTTTTCCTATTTTGTTGCCTTACAACCTGGAATTAAAATTGATTTTTGGGGGTTTGTATTATTTGATTTACACAACATGCCTACCACTTTGAAGATGCAAATATTTTTTCTTGTGAAACAAACAAGACATAAGACCAAAAAAAAGAAAACTTGAGCGTGCATAACTATTCACCCCCCCCCCCAAAGTCAATACTTTGTAGAGCCACCTTTTGCAGCAATTACAGCTGCAAGTCTCTTGGGGTATGTCTCTATAAGCTTGACACATCTAGCCACTGGGATTTTTGCCCATTCTTCAAGGCAAAACTGCTCCAGCTCCTTCAAATTGAATGGGTTCCGCTGGTGTACAGCAATCTTTAAGTCATACCACAGATTCTCAATTGGATTGAAGTCTGGGCTTTGACTAGGCCATTCTAAGACATTTAAATGTTTCCCCTTAAACCACTCAAGTGTTGCTTTAGCAGTATGCTTAGGGTCATTGTCCAGCTGAAAGGTGAACCTCCATCCCAGTCTCAAATCTCTGGAAGACTGAAACAGGTTTCCCTCAAGAATTTCCCTGTATTTAGCGCCATCCATCATTCCTTCAATTCTGACCAGTTTCCCAGTCCCTGCCGATGAAAAACATCCCCACAGCATGATGCTGCCACAACCATGCTTCACTGTCGGGATTGTGTTCTCGGGGTGATGAAAGGTGTTGGGTTTGCGCCAGACATAGTGTTTTCCTTGATGGACAAAAAGCTCAGAGTACCTTCTTCCATATGTTTGAGGAGTCTCCCACATGCCTTTTGGCGAACACCAAACGTGTTTGCTTATTTATTTCTTTAGCAATGGCTTTTTTCTGGCCACTCTTCCGTAAAGCCCAGCTCTGTGGAGTGTACGGCTTAAAGTGGTCCTATGGACATATACTCCAATCTCCGCTGTGGAGTTTTGCAGCTCCTTCAGGGTTATCTTTGGTCTATTTGTTGCCTCTCTGATTAATGCCCTCCTTGCCTGGTCCGTGAGTTTTGGTGGTTAGCGGCCCTCTCTTGGCAGGTTTGTTGTGGTGCCATATTCTTTCAATTTTTTAATAATGGATTTAATGGTGCTCCATGTTCAAAGTTCAAAGTTTCAGATATTTTCTTATAACCCAACCCTGATCTGTACTTCTCCACAACTTTGTCCCTGACCTGTTTGGAGAGCTCCTTGGTCTTCATGGTGCCGCTTGCTTGTTGGTGCCCCTTGCTTAGTGGTGTTGCAGACTCTGGGGCCTTTCAGAACAAGGGTATATATACACTGAGATCATGTGACAGATCATGTGACACTTAGATTGAACACAGGTGGACTTTATTTAACTAATTATGTGACATCTGAAGGTAATTGGTTGCACCAGATCTTATTTAGGGGCTTCATAGCAAAGGGGGTGAATACATATGCACGCACCCCTTTTCCATTATTTATTTTTTTGAATTTTTTTAAACAAGTAATTTTTTTCATTTCACTTCACCAATTTGGATAGGAAAATAGGAAAAACACCAAGGGGGATGAATACTTTTGCAAGGCACTGTATATTCTAACAAAAATGACTGTTTTTAAGGTGTATATCTTTTGTAATCTACATTGATCTAAATGAGAATGAAGAAAATGTATATTGCATTATCTGTGCATTAGGTCCTGTGGAAGTTGTTTGTTTATATTAGCCCTGGGTTTTAGTCTCAGGCAGGTCTTGTGTAGCACAGTTCTCCTCTGCCTCTGCCTGCCAGTCCACATTTAGGAGATACAGTGGGGAGAACAAGTATTTGATACACTGCCGATTTTGCAGGTTTTCCTACTTACAAAGCATGTAGAGGTCTGTAATTTTTATCATAGGTACACTTCAACTGTGAAAGACGGAATCTAAAAAAAAAAATCCAGAAAATCACATTGTATGATTTTTAAGTAATTAATTTCCATTTTATTGCATGACATACAGTGAGGGAAAAAAGTATTTGATCCCCTGCTGATTTTGTACGTTTGCCCACTGACAAAGAAATTATCAGTCTATAATTTTAATGGTAGGTTTATTTGAACAGTGAGAGACAGAATAACAAGTAGAAAAAAATTGAGACAGGAGAAGTAGAGCGAGAGGCAGTGGAGGGATTCATCTTTACCTGTGGAGGAGATTAAGGGTCTGGATTGTGTGTGATTAATGAGTGGGCTGCTGATTGCTCATCTTCTCTTTCCCTCCATGAATTACCAGCACACTCGCCAACTGACACATTCAGATCCCTCAAATTGAGAGAGAGAGGAGAGAGAGAGAGAAAGAAAGAGAGACGAGAGATAGAGAGATAGAGAGAGAAGAGGTGAGATGAGAAGAGAGAGAGAGAGATGCTCGCGATAGAGAGAGCGAGACAGCGCTCTTAGAGCTAGCGCTCATCTCTTCTACTCTCTCTATCTATCTGCAGATCCGCTCGCCTCTCTCTCTCTAATAGATCTCTCGATCTCCTAGATCGCTCTCTCGTCGCTCGCTAGCATAGATTCCGCTCGTAGCCTCGCTCGGGCGCTCGCTCGCTCTTCTCTAGTAGCTCGATAGATAGATAATCTCGATACAGTGGGGAAAAAAGTATTTAGTCAGCCACCAATCGTGCATGTTCTCCCACTTAAAAAGATGATAGAGGCCTGTAATTTTCATCATAGGTACACGTCAACTATGACAGACAAATTGAGAAAAAAAAAATCAGAAAATCACATTGTAGGATTTTTTATGAATTTATTTGCAAATTATGGTGGAAAATAAGTATTTGGTCACCTACAAACAAGCAAGATTTCTGGCTCTCACAGACCTGTAACTTCTTCTTTAAGAGGCTCCTCTGTTCTCCACTCGTTACCTGTATTAATGGCACCTGTTTGAACTTGTTATCAGTATAAAAGACACCTGTCCACAACCTCAAACAGTCACACTCCAAACTCCACTATGGCCAAGACCAAAGAGCTGTCAAAGGACACCAGAAACAAAATTGTAGACCTGCACCAGGCTGGGAAGACTGAATCTGCAATAGGTAAGCAGCTTGGTTTGAAGAAATCAACTGTAGGAGCAATTATTAGGAAATGGAAGACATACAAGACCACTGATAATCTCCCTCGATCTGGGGCTCCACGCAAGATCTCACCCCGTGGGGTCAAAATGATCACAAGAACGGTGAGCAAAAATCCCAGAACCACACGGGGGGACCTAGTGAATGACCTGCAGAGAGCTGGGACCAAAGTAACAAAGCCTACCATCAGTAACACACTACGCCGCCAGGGACTCAAATCCTGCAGTATCAGACGTGTCCCCCTGCTTAAGCCATACATGTCCAGGCCCGTCTGAAGTTTGCTAGAGTGCATGTGGATGATCCAGAAGAGGATTGGGAGAATGTCATATGGTCAGATGAAACCAAAATATAACTTTTTGGTAAAAACTCAACTCGTCGTGTTTGGAGGACAAAGAATGCTGAGTTGCATTCAAAGAACACCATACTTACGGTGAAGCATGGGGGTGGAAACATCATGCTTTGGGGCTGTTTTTCTGCAAAGGGACCAGGACGACTGATCCGTGTAAAGGAAAGAATGAATGGGGCCATGTATCGTGAGATTTTGAGTGAAAACCTCCTTCCATCAGCAAGGGCATTGAAGATGAAACGTGGCTGGGTCTTTCAGCATGACAATGATCCCAAACACACCGCCCGGGGCATTTCAAGGTCCTGGAGTGGCCTAGCCAGTCTCCAGATCTCTACCCCATAGAAAATCTTTGGAGGGAGTTGAAAGTCCGTGTTGCCCAGCGACAGCCCCAAAACATAACTGCTCTAGAGGAGATCTGCATGGAGGAATGGGCCAAAATACCAGCAACAGTGTGTGAAAACCTTGTGAAGACTTACAGAAAACGTTTGACCTGTGTCATTGCCAACAAAGGGTATATAACAAAGTATTGAGACACTTTTGTCATTGACCAAATACTTATTTTCCCCCATAATTTGCAAATAAATTCATTAAAAATCCTACAAAAAGATTTTTTTTTCTCATTTTGTCTGTCATAGTTGACGTGTACCTATGATGAAAATTACAGGCCTCTCTCATCTTTTTAAGTGGGAGAACTTGCACAATTGGTGGCTGACTAAATACTTTTTTTCCCCACTGTAGATAGATAGATAGATAGATAGATAGATAGATAGATAGATAGATAGATAGATAGATAGATAGATAGATAGATAGATAGATAGATAGATAGATAGATAGATAGATAGATAGATAGATAGATAGATAGATAGATAGATAGATAGATAGATAGATAGATAGATAGATAGATAGATAGATAGATAGATAGATAGATAGATAGATAGATAGATAGATAGATATATTAAAATGCAAATCAATTTATAACATATTTGACATACGTTTTTCTGGATTTTTTGTTGTTATACTGTCTCTCACTGTTCAACTAAACCTACCATTAAAATTATAGACTGATCATTTCTTTGTCAGCTGGCAAACGTACAAAATCAGCAGGGGATCAAATCATGTTTTCCCTCACTGTAAGTATTTGATCACCTACCAACCAGTAAGAATTCCGGCTCTCACAGACCTGTTAGTTTTTCTTGAAGAAGCCCTCCTGTTCTCCACTCATTACCTGTATTAACTGCACCTGTTTGAACTCGTTGCCTGTATAAAAGACACCTGTCCACACACTCAATCAAACAGACTCCAACCTCTCCACAATGGCCAAGACCAGAGAGCTGTGTAAGGACATCAGGGATAAAATTGTAGACCTGCACAAGGCTGGGATGGGCTACAGGACAATAGGCAAGCAGCTTGGTGAGAAGGCAACAACTGTTGGTGCAATTATTAGAAAATGGAAGAAGTTCAAGATGACAGTCAATCACCCTCGGTCTGGGGCTCCATGCAAGATCTCACCTCGTGGGGCATCAATGATTATGAGGAAGGTGAGGGATCAGCCCAGAACTACATGGCAGGAACTGGTCAATGACCTGAAGAGAGCTGGGACCACAGTCTCAAAGAAAACCATTAGTAACACACTACGCCGTCATGGATTAAAATCCTGCAGCACACGCAAGGTCCCCCTGCTCAAGCCAGCGCATGTCCAGGCCCGTCTGAAGTTTGCCAATGACCATCTGGATGATCCAGAGGAGGAATGGGAGAAGGTAATGTGGTCTGATGAGACAAAAATAGAGCTTTTTGGTCTAAACTCCACTCGCCGTGTTTGGAGGAAGAAGAAGGATGAGTACAACCCCAAGAACACCATCCCAACCGTGAAGCATGGAGGTGGAAACATCATTCTTTGGGGATGCTTTTCTGCAAAGGGGACAGGACGACTGCACCGTATTGAGGGGAGGATGGATGGGGCCATGTATCGCGAGATCTTGGCCAACAACCTCCTTCCCTCAGTAAGAGCATTGAAGATGGGTCGTGGCTGGGTCTTCCAGCATGACAACGACCCGAAACACACAGCCAGGGCAACTAAGGAGTGACTCCGTAAGAAGCATCTCAAGGTCCTGGAGTGGCCTAGCCAGTCTCCAGACCTGAACCCAATAGAAAATCTTTGGAGGGAGCTGAAAGTCCGTATTGCCCAGCGACAGCCCCGAAACCTGAAGGATCTGGAGAAGGTCTGTATGGAGGAGTGGGCCAAAATCCCTGCTGCAGTGTGTGCAAACCTGGTCAAGACCTACAGGAAACATATGATCTCTGTAATTGCAAACAAAGGTTTCTGTACCAAATATGAAGTTCTGCTTTTCTGATGTATCAAATACTTATGTCATACAATAAAATGCAAATTAATTACTTAAAAATCATACAATGTGATTTTCTGGATTTTTGTTTTAGATTCCGTCTCTCACAGTTGAAGTGTACCTATGATAAAAATTACAGACCTCTACATGCTTTGTAAGTAGGAAAACCTGCAAAATCGGCAGTGTATCAAATACTTGTTCTCCCCACTGTACATGGAGAGAGCTCAAGAGAGCGGGATCAAAGAGGACAGCGAGAAGGAGGCAGAGAGGGAGGGAGAGATGAGAGGAGGAAACTGAAAGAGAGACTGGCACATGATCTTTGACACGGCATGGGAAAGCAGCTGTCTGACACATGCGTCCTTCACTCCTGCCACTGTGTTGTGAAGATTGCCTTGTGATCAAGGCATAATGCAGCAACAGCAGCAGCAATAGTGTGACGAGGGAGGGATGGATGTGAGTGTGAGAACATGCCATAGATCACAAAAGGCTGTGAGTACTAGCGTCAGAGAGCTGCCTCTCATGATAGCACTGTGCCCTGGGACACATCACCTTTACCTGATACATCTAACACACACACACACACACATGCACATGCACACACACACACACACACACACACACACTAGTGCTACCGTCAGAGAGGGCTGCCTCTGATGATACCACTCACTGTGTCCTGGGATACATGACCTTCATCTGACACTGTAGATCTCTGGGAACAGAACAGAGAGGATTCAGTCAAAGCATATTTTCAGGAAGTGTTGTTGTGATGTCATCAAAAGGGTTCTGGCGTCAATGGCTTCTGTTAGTGAGAAGTGGTCGTGCAGGTAGGTGGCTACTTAGATTATCTTTGTTTATTCATTTAGAAAAGGACAGAGAGTGCATTTTTAGGTGGAAGGATGAAACAGCCATGGAAAATGTGTATCAGTGTAGAAATGTGTGGCTGAGCTAGCACTTGTCTTTTCTGCTCATCTCTAACACAGCGAATGGGAGCGAGCTCCACATTGGCAGTGTACGCTATGAGGACACAGGCGCCTACACCTGCATTGCTAAGAATGAGGTGGGGGTGGACGAGGACATATCGTCTCTGTTTGTAGAGGACTCAGCCAGAAAGACACGTAAGTGACTGAAAGTAGAACATGGGAAAATGCCTCCGGGATTTTCAAAAGCTAGTTTTGGCAATGAAAATGTAGACAGTAATTAGCATAATGTAATATCGGCATTCAATTAACAAAAATATGAAGTTGAAGAAAGTGTCAGAAACAGGTCCAAGAAGTTATAACAAATCAATTATAATGCTCTGTATCTGATTTATTGTATGGTATCTGTATATACAGTATATGTGTATATATATATTTTTTACAGCCTTTGGGTTTAGACTCTCTCAAATGCAATTAAAAAATCTAGAATACATTTATGTTGTTGTGATAATACAGTATCTCTGCCTCTGTAAAGAAGCACTCTTGCTAAATGTGTTTCTGTCCCACTTTTTCTGATATGACTTGATATGACATGGTCTCTCTCTCTCTCTCCCTCCTCTGTGTCCCTTTCTCCCTCGTTCTTCTGTCATTCTGATGCTGATGCTGCAGTTGCAAACATACTGTGGAGGGAGGAAGGTATTAAAATCTACTGTTGTTTAACACTTTTCACCATGTCTTTTTTCAGTTCTTTTCAATTCACTTCTATAATTGACTAGGTTCATTAAATGCAGTATATACACATTATGTGTACGTGTTCTTGCTGAAAACATTATTTTACAAGACTTGACCATGAAAATATACATACAATTAAAACAGTTTTGCTACAGGCCTGCCTCGACATTTCAGCACACATAACTCTTCCTCAGAACAGTATAATCTAGTTGTGACACCAAAATGTGTGTATGAGAATAACTGTTTTGGGCTGATTAGAGAGTAGAGAGAGTCCCACTGTTTGAATCCTGTCCACCCCCGATGCAGACTGTACCAGTGGCCGTCACGTCGTGACTGTGTCAGCAGCACTCAAGGTGTTGATTTCACCTCGTTTTTCAATATGATGTAACCTGCCATCCATCCCCACACAATGTGCTTTTCCAAAGCATGAATAGCGGTTGTCTAATTAACAGTTGTTTAGAGTCAGGTAACTGGCCTGCAAAATGTTCTCGCGCTCATAGCGGCTATCAAGTTTGAGAAGACAGTCTCACAATTCACTCGCTAGACATGTTGTTGACAGAGACTGACTGTGCTGTCAAAATGCCTGACAACGCCACCAGTCATTCACCAGTTCAGGAGCTGCTAACAGGGTCTGTGTATTTTCTGTTAGGCTCTTGAATGTGAGAATGTCAGCTGAAGCTATTTGTATGTCCTATCTCCCCAGGGTTGAGCGTAGGGAACATGTTCTATGTGTTTTCTGATGAGGGCATCACGGTGCTGCAGCCCAGCGAGTGTGAGATACGCAGACACATCAAGCGCACAGAGAGGATCATGGCCAGCTATGTGAGTACATACTGTACATGTTTTAGAGGATAATGATTCAGGTATTTGTGGACTTTTTATGACTTGAGATTATATTAAAGATATGCTAAACCACAGGGAATAAGCCACACTCTGTCACGATCGTCGTATTGAATAGACCAAGGCGCAGCGTGATGAACGAACATGTTTAACTTTATTATCTTTAGTGATAATAGACAACCATAAACAAAAACAAGAAACGACTCGTGAAGTCCACGGTAACAATGACCAACACGGAACAAAAACCCACAAACACAAAGGGAAAACAGACAGTTTAAATATGGCTCCCAATCAGAGACAACCAACGACAGCTGACACTCGTTGCCTCTGATTGGGAGTCACTCTAGCCAACATATAAATAAACACAACAGAATGAACACACCCTGGCTCAACATATAGAGTCCCAGAGCCAGGGTGTGACACACTCCTACAGATATACAGATGTACACACACCCCCCCCCACTCCACTACAACCCATTGCCAGTATCTGTGCCCTCCGTTCACTAAATGTTATGGGATTACGCATGTCCATTAGTCAAAAACCCCAAATCAATAGCTCACAGTAACCCTGCACGTCTGTAATATACTGTACTAGAGAACATCGCTCTCCCAAAGTAATGGGCTTTAGTTGGTAAAAGTGGCTTGTTTCTCTGAGGGATTTAAGTTGTACAGGTTGCTGTAATTGTATTACAGATCGATACAAACTCAATAAGGCATGTGTTAGCCCGTTGCTGCTGTAAACAGCATTTTCTCTGCTACATGATGGCCCTATCCTGTGTGTGGAAGCTATGTGATTAACTGTGGATTCACCACTCTCCCTTCTATTCTGCTTCTTCTTCTTCTTCTTCGTCATCTTCTTCTCATCTTTCGTTCTTCCCTTCTCTCTCTTCCTCCATCCCGTTCTTTCTCCAGGAGGAGATGTGCCCTAAAAGTGAAGGTGTGTCTCCGGAGCACTGTGTGTGGTCCTCAGCGGTCAGTGTGAGGGATAAGTACATTTACGTCACCCAGCCCTTTCAGAAACGCCTGCTGGTCATCGACACCCAGGCCCAGAATGTGGTGCAGGTTGGTTGGTATTATTAATTTTCTCTATGAGCTGTTTAGAGAGTGGTCCCCCAAGGCTTTTACACAGGTCACCAATAGGTAGAGAGAGGGAGCAAAGAGAGGGAGAGGAAAGAAGAGGGCCTAAAACAGATAAGCTAGTGGTTTCCCAATCGCCAAGCTCTGTCACACTTCTCCACTGGTGTGTGTGAGGGCAGGGGGTTAATGCATCATCCCTTTTCTCTCTCCCTCCATCTCTCTCTGCCTGCCTCACCCTCCCTCCATCTCTCTCAGCCTGCCTCACCCTCCCTCCACTTCTATCTCAGCCATCTCCACTCGTTACAGAGACGTTTCTGGGAGACAGAAATAACACCCTGATTGTGCTCATATTTTGACTTAACAACAGCAACATCTAGCTCACAGTTACGAAACAGTCATTTTCAATTACTGTCACGCTGCATGATAATAGATACTGAACAATATAAAAAAAAGTAATATAACTATTTAGCTGGAGAAATGCTGTAAACATAAAATGGCTGTAAAATAAGAGTGAGTGAGATATGTCTGTAACAAACTAGGAGTATACGGGGGGTGGTGAGCAGTCAGTTGCCTGTATGTCTCATTATTTGGTGTACTGCCCCCCCCCCCCCCCACTCCCACATCCCCCTCCTCTGACATGTGAGTGACAGCATGAGAGTCAGAGTCCCCCCTCCTCTGAGGGTCTCAGAGTGGGAGTGCTGTTGACACATAGCTGACCAGTGGAAAAGAAATAGGCTGGCCTCCCATTACTGAACACATGCCTCTGTCGCGCTTCACTGGGGGTGGGGGTGGGGAAGGGAGGGGGGTCGGCACAAGTCACACTGCATGTCCATGGGAGCGGGTAACTGATTGTGCTATTCCTCATTGTTGACAATATACCCAGCCCCCTTCTGTGTATTACTGTCTCTCTCTCTTTCTCTTTCTCTCTCTCAAGATGGTAGAGACTGACCCTTTCCCAGTGAAACTGCTCTATGACAAGTCACATGACCAGGTCTGGGTGCTAAGCTGGGGCAGCATGCAGAAGTCCCACCCAACCTTACAGGTAAGGAGTTATTGGTGTGCACTTGTGTATTTTGGTCCATTCATGTGTGTGTGTGTGTGTGTGTGTGTGTGTGTGTGTGTGTGTGTGTGTGTGTGTGTGTGTGCGTGCGTGCGCATGCGCATGTGTGTATGAGCGAGTATTTGTTTGTGTGACTATTTTATCTATGTATGTTTTACCAGTCAGCAAACTCTAATTCACAGCTGTGGCACTGTAGACATGGGATCCAGTCCCTTGTTGAGGATGTGTTGGAGACTTCAGACTTGAGGGATGATCACAGGCCCCCGGGGGAGGTGGGGGGGGGGGGGGGGGGGTGATTTGGCCAATGGGAGCTGGGACCTAATAAAATAATAAATAATATTTATAGGGCTGAGGTAACCGAGGACAGCAGCACAGCGTACTACAACTGTTGAGGGACTACATTGTCATTTTCCTCTTCCTTTGGAATCCTATTAAAATCTTGTGAGGTGCTCTGTCTGTCAGTAGTCAATACGTGAAAACAGCCTTATTAGCAAGGGAGAGGATGTGAGCACTTGTCAGGTTGGGCTCATTGTGAAATCCTAATGTGTTCTCACTACCAAGCGAGACGCAATGGGCCTCAAATAAAGAGGAGGTGAGGCGGTTTTGAAAGGCACTTTTCTATCTCAAACAAAGTGATTTTCTACTCATTCTTCAAATTGTTGTAAATTCTCAAACGGCTCTGCATAAGCGTTCGGGTGAATTGTCAGAACTACTCAAACACGCCTGGTGTTCTGTTGTCGCTCAATAGTAATGAATAATTACAAAATGAGGCGTGAGTCATTCAGTCCAAAATTCAATTTCAGGCAATCTGCATAACTGACTGTAGGGCATATGGATCACACGGCAAATAAATGCCTTGATAATGTCATTATTATTTGGAATGCAAGTAATTGACCTGAGCACTGACAGTCGTCCATTCTCCAATTCAATATTTAAACACCTTATTTTTTGCTAGCTCAATATCTCTAAGCAAACGTCCGAGTGAGATTGTCAATTCATTAGATAAAACAAATGAAGGAGCAGGGATGTTGAAATGGGAGGGATAGCCTTTCTAACTGTCAGACTGGTCTCATGTCGACGTATGCACGTGCCGATCCTGGCTATTCAGAGCAATTGAGGCAGAAGTAATATAATAATCTATATGCAATTTAGCAGATGCTTTTATCCAAAGCGCCTTACAGTAATGCGTGCAGACATTTTACGTATGGGTGGTCCCAGGAATCAAACCCTCTATCCTGGCATTGCAAGCACCATGCTCTACCAACTGAGCTACAGAAGACCACAGAGAGAGAAATGTGCGGTTTCAGGCACGTGCACAGATAGAGGTCTAAGGGTGCCTGAGTACCTGCTCTTTTTCCCTCCTATGAGAAAAGTGCCCTTTTTGTATTATTACATTTTTATTTCACTTTAAGTCTATTTTCTCTCTTGTTATTTAAATTAGTTGCCCATCAAACCAGCTAATTTAAAAACAAATGTATCTTGTTCCACATGTAAGCACGAATTGCACTCGTCCTGCTGGCAGAAGCTACCAGTGCCAAACGGTAGCGTAGTAGCTAGTGGCTCCCTTTTGAGTTGTCATCTCACTGTCAGGAACAGGAAAGGCTTCAATTTGAGTGTTTGTTAGTAGGCCTAAGAGCCAGATGTCAGCAGCAGAACAAACCAAATATGGGTAGCTGAGGCCCAATATGGCGACCGGAGTAAGGGCGAGTGGGTGTGTGGAAGGCAAATCAGCTAATCGGACAGATTTATTGGCACTCAAGACCGTTTCGCGTGGCTGATTGGGCTGCACGACGAGTCGATAAGCCGGTGCGAATGACTAGTGCACCAGTGTTGTATCGGCGTGCCTGCCGAACAGAATTGCTTCCCACTGGGCAGCTGTATCACGTCGCCACCGGCGGTAGCTAACGTGGTCATTTTTTTCCCTCCCATGATTTTATTTCAATTAGGATAACAGCCTACACAAGAAATAACTCATCTTGATAACCATCTAGATGTCACCTTGATACATACATACAGTCTGCTACTCAATGGTGAGAGCGTGAATGGCAACAACACTGCTTGCCAAGCACTACTGTCCGGCAACGGCTTGGGTGACAGTCACAGTAAGCACGGGCAAACAACGCAAACAAGCAACAGTACACCCATCATCAGTACTTTTAATCAAAAATAAACAATTGTCTGTTTTATAACTGAAAATGTATAATTATTTGTATAAAACTAACAGTGAAATATAACTCAGACTCATCCTCTGGCTTCAAAATAGAAGTCCAAACTCTCGCGGTACGGTAGCTCAATGTACAGTAATTGCGCGGTAAGAAAAAAACACCCACTCCTTTCCATACACCCACTACTTTCCTTTCGACACACCCACTCCTTTCCATACGCCCACTATTTTCCTTTCGACACACCCACTCGCTCATACTTCGGTCGCCATATTGTGCTGCAGCTACCCCCTTCTCGAACAAACTTCAACCATAGGTTAATACTAGTTAGATCGTTTCAACAGCATAGCTAACTAGCTGATTTACATCATCTACATTTGCTATGATCAGCTGATGGCCCACCCCTCTTTGCCTTCTCTTTGATCAGTCGGCTATAAGCTTGCTTACAGTGGGATGAGTGTGATTTTGCAGGAAATAAAGGCTACAATATAACACAATGCCACAGATGTCTCAAGTTTTGAGGGAGCGTGCAATTGGCATCCTGACTGCAGGTATGTCCACCTGAGCTGTTGCCAGAGAAAGTAATGTTCATTTCTCTACCATAAGCCACCTCCAACGTCGTTTTAGAGAATTTGACAGTACGTCCAACCGGCCTCACAACTGCAAACCACGTGTAACCACGCCAGCCCAGGACATCCACATCTGGCTTCTTCACCTGTGGGATCGCCTTAGGCCAGCCACCCGGACAGCTGATGTCTGTAATAAACTCATTCTGATTGGCTGGGCCTGGCTCCCCAGTGGGCCTGGGAGGGCATAGGCCCACCCACTTGGGAGCCAGGCCCACCCATGGCTGAGCCCCTGCCCAGTCATGTAAAATCCATACATTAGGGCTTAATGATTTTATTTCAATTGACTGATTTCCTTATATGAACTCAGTAAAATCGTTGAAATTGTTGTATGTTGCGTTTATATTTTTGTTCAGTATATATGTTGAAATTTGGCTACAGGAACATTAGATAATTACCTATGAAACTAGGGTTTAGAAACATGGTGACATGAGTTTACAACATATAACAGTGGCAAGATGTTGCAATATGTTGAAACCTCAGCATGTTCAAAAGATGCAACTGTAATAGATACTTGGATAATGGAATTGGCCAGTAGAGGCCTACCAGTTGGATATTAGTAAGTAAGTAGCTTTGCACGATCCTATCTCCTGTTTCTGTAGCGTGAGGCAGCTTGATGTACAAGTACACCCCCTGGAGAGGACGCAGGTCTATAGCAGGAGTTGGATATTAGTCTAAACTTAAATGTAGCTTGGATTTATTGTACCATTTCACATTACTTCACCCTTATAATATAATGTAAGAACAGTGTAATATTCTTGTAAAGTGGGGACCTATAGGATATATAAAGCATTTCTTAATAACATTGAGATCCTCCAGTCTGCCTTGAAATGAGTACAGTTCAATATAAAAGGTACTCAGTCAGTACAAACCAATTTCCCTTCAGGTATTAAAGCACAGTAGGTGTAATACAGGAGAGAAAATGATAGCCGAGGTAAAATACAGTAACACGGTGCATATGATCCTTATGTGCCAGGGTGGTGGTGTGAAGTTCAGAGCACCCTGAGCCTGTGAGAGCATTACTTCCTAATTAGCCATTAGTTATATGAGCTCATTAACTCTTGACCAATGTAACAGTGTAACATTTCTAATGACCTTTTTTAACAAGGTTTCTCTCCAAACCCTGGAGGGAGAGAAGTACGGGGATACTGTATCTGTTTTGTTAAAGTCGTGGCTCTGTAGCTCTATTGACTGCAGTGACAAGGGGCTCTGCATGAAAGCTTTTGTTAATTATCAATATAGTTCACTCATAGAAAGACTGCAAAATCCAAAATCAGGCCCCCACTGACAATGTGATGGTGTTAGGGCTTTAGTGGGGATGGTACAGACTTCAGATTAGTGTCTATAGTTGTTTTTCCTTTTATACAAATACCTTCTACATGAAATATTTACTGGGGTTCCTTAAACAAGCAGAGCTATGCAGTGGTTACATAAACAGCCCACTAGTCCTTGACAGTGACCTGGTAACGAAGAGTACCTGATGAAGCATTTGTTATGTACATACTGGGTGGGGCCAATAGAGTGGATGGATAGATCGTCCAATGAGAAATGGATGAGTCAGACCTAAAGATAGCGGCTTAATCTGTGTGTATCTTCTAAAGCAGTGTTTCCCAAACTCGGTCCTGGGGACCCCAAGGGGTGAACGTTTTGGTTTTTGCCCTTGCACTACACAGCTGATTCAAATAATCAAAGCGTAATGATGAGTTGATTTTTTGAATTAGCCAATAAGATCCTCTATCAGGTCTTGAGGTGAGGCCATATTTCATCAGCTTAACTATACTGCCCAATAGAATACAGTGAGCTCCAAACGTATTGGGACAGTGACACATTTCTGTTGTTTGTTTTGGCTCTGTACTCCAGCACTTTGGATTTGACTATGAGGTTAAAGTGCAGACTGTAAGCTAGTGCTGAGCGATTAGTGCTTTTTGAGGTCAGTTCGGTTTTGGTTCGATTATAAAACAATTATCACGGTTTTCAATTTCGGTTTAGATAAAAAATGTTTTACATTAAATGCGTTATGAAATAATGACATTAAAATGATTAGAGCTTTTAAATGCAAATGCAAAAGTCAAAAATAGTGAACATTCAATTGCTATGAAATATTAAAATATTTAAGTTGTGTATATTCATTCGTTTTATTTAATGACTTGATAATTCTTAATTTCATCATCATATCTCGTGTCTGCTCAGGCAGCAGCAGAAATGAATGGTAAATAATGTATTGTGTCATTTTGGAGTCACTTTTATTGTAAATAAGAATAGGATTTGTTTCCAAACACTTCTACATTAATGTGGATGCTACCATGATTACGAATAGTCCTGAATGAATCGTGAATAATGATGAGTGAGAAAGTTACAGACGCACAAATATCATTACCCCAAAACATGCTAACCTCTCACCATTACAATAACAGGGAAGGTTAGCATTTTTGGCGGGGGTAGGATATTTGTACGTCTGTAACTTTCTCACTCATCATTATTCACGATTCATTCAGGAATATCCGTAATCATGGTAGCATCCACATTCATGTAGAAGTGTTTAGAAACATATTCTATTCTTAGTTACAATAAAATGTACTCCAAAATGACACAATACATTATTTACCATTCATTTCTATTGGGCAAACAGCAAATGCATCCAACAAGTTTACAGATTCACAAGCTTGATGTAATCATTGCGTGCTAGGAATATGGGACCAAATACTAAACTTTTGACTACTGTAATACACATATAAGTGAATTTGTCCCAATACTTTTGGTCCCCTAAAATGGGGGACCATGTACAAAAAGTGCTGTAATTTGTGTGTCACTGTCCCAGTAATTTTGGAGCTCACTGTATATGGCAACATTACCTTCTGAGTGTTTCGCTGTTATGTTAAGTACACGCTCCAACCCATGCTTTCTTATCCTGTTCTCTGGCCGGGTAGGTGATACTTGTATGTTTCCTGTTCTCATGTTCTCCTTTGCCTGCTCTGTTCCAGGTGATTCCCCAGGCCAGTGTTGGAGAGGTGCACCACACCCTCCGCACCCCCTTCCAGAGGGTTGATGACTTCTTCATCCCCCCAACCAACCTCATTATCACACACATCAGGTACAGAAGGCCCGCTAACCTTAAACACTGGTGACCTCACCACCTCATCTTCGCGATCCCTCTCAAGTGGAGTAGAAAAGTGCAAATTATAATTTAATGAGAATCCTGATCGCACCGTAATCAACCAAAAAAGACCATTAACCTTTCCCTTGAACTTTGTCGTCTTAGGTTTGGCTTCGTCTTCCTCAAATCTGAACCTGCGGTGCATAAGATTGACTTGGAGACCTTCCACCGAGTAAAGACCATCAGCCTGAAGAACTACAGCTGTGTGCCCATCAGCATGGCCTACACACACCTGACTGGCTTTTACTTCATTCAGTGCCGGTCTCAGAGCAGGGACCCCTCGTCAGCCCAGCCACAGCTCCTCATCGACAGTGTCACCGACACTGTCATTGGGCCCAACCTCAACATCACGGGCCAGCCCTACGTGTCCCCGGACGGCCGCTACATCATCACCCCTGACCAGCAGTGCGGCAAGGTCAGAGTTCAGACAGTGTCCTTCCAGGGGGTGCTGGGTCTGAGCCGGGAGCTGGACACCTCCTTCATTGTGTCCGACCTGGTCTTCCAGCCCTCCTTCACTAAGTCCAACCAGTACTCAGTGGTAGCTGCCTCTGGCTCAGGCACAGACCTGCTCATCTCTGACCTGGCGACAGGGCACAGCGAGGTCCTCAGAAGCCTCAAGGAGCCCCTGTCACACCACACCTGGCCCTGGGGGGGGCCCAACAGGGTGGTGGTGTCCAGCGGACTGTTTGGCCTGTACTTGGTCACTCCCTCAGCGGAATCCCTCTTTGTGTTGAATGGCAAACTGAACACGCCCCACTGCGAGGTGTCAGACATCAAGAGAGGGAACACAGTGGTGTGGGTGGGAGAGGTATGAGAGAGAGGGAAGAGGTGGAGAGAGAGAGAAAGGGAGAGATCAGGCCAAAACACTTAAGATATATATGGACATAAGTGGACTCAACCCTGGGGCTGAGCGCGAGGAACACATGCCTGGGTTATTGTAACAAAAGTACACAAAAAATAGTAATTAAGAAAATATTTAGAAAATCCTAGTATGGTATTTTTACGGGGAGAAGGTGGGTGGTGAGGCCCTTTAGTGCAACTGTGATCTATGTGCACTTAACTAAGAGGAGTTGTACATTGCACTTCCTTGTAACACTGCAGATAACAGGAGAGGGATATAATGATGACATTTTGAAAATTTAACTATGCACAATGCTCACTTTTATAGACTAACGCTTTTTGGTTTCGAGATGTTTGTCGTTCACCAGTACTGCAAATAGTCATAACAAGACGTCTGTCTGCCTCTAGTGTATACATGTGTTTTCAGTCCTTTTCAGAACCACAGCACCCTGTTACTTGCCTTTGTCCTTGTCCATGTTATTGTACGCTTTCTATAAAAGCTCTCATGCTGACCAACACATACAGGTTGGCTTGAAACATGTTTTACCGTATTAGTCATGACCTGTTACTTTCCAAAGAGAATACTTTTCCATCCATTAGCTGAGAACAGTATCTAATAGCAAACAGTAGAAAACCCATCAGAGGATAACATGTTATTGTACAAAGAATAGATATGGTATAATATGCCCCCCACCCTCTCTCACAAAGTAAGCCTACTTCCAGTTTTGATCCAGTGACCTCCTAGTCCACTGTCCACTGTCTAGCATTGTAAGGGTCTTGTTCATCAGCATTGAGGTATTGTAAGTCCTGTGTATCCAGTTTCTGCCCTATAGCTTAGTTCCCATTCTTCAACTGCTCCACAACTGAAATACAGCTTTCCCTCGTAATGAGTAGCTGTGCTTATTACCCTAATACTGGCTAGTACTGTATGTGATGAGCAAGTAATAGCAAAACAAGATAAACGGATGTGTTGCTTATGTTTGTGATTTAGATATTTGTTGCTACAGTAACTGCCTTTACTCAATCTGACACAAAAGCAAAGGCTTGATGATGTTTCTTAGAACACTGTTGCATTGAGAGAGAAATATGTCTGTATTCCAGGAGTGAGGCAGAGATGTGTAATATATATATAAAAAAAAGCCCAATTTGAAGCCCAATTATTTTGCAGTCATGGGAAAAAAAACATTTCAGGAATTACCATCAAAAAGCATCAGGCACCCAGACCAAAGTACTTATTTGCCACCATTACAGAGTAGCTTCAGAATGATTCATACGAGTCACCACCAAAGGCATCATCAGAACTGAATGTTCCATATGCATGTTCTGAGAGTTGAGGCTCATCTCACTATTGTTTAAGAGCATTTCGGCTGGGATTCAATCAAAGGCGCGTTATCGACAAGGTAATTTCCGCTTGAGCCGACATCCGCAGCATTTACAGTGAATGCAATCTCCACAATATTCAGGAAAATTGCCTTCAAAAGGTGCATTGCCGCTAGTGCAATGCGCTTGCCATCAATGCGCCTCTGATTGAATCCCGGACTTCACAAACAGTACAGTTGCTGGTGAAAATGTCACATACATTACATACCTGTTCTCTAACCAAGACCATGGCTGCAGACCTGAACCTCTTGGTATGATATTGACATTAGAGACACTGATGTAGATATAAATTGTTCTTGTTTAGAACACATTCAAACATGAAGTGTACAGTTTTCTTTATGCATTTTGTGTGTTCTTGTTTATGAGGGAAATGGTTTGTAAAATAATATCTAATAAAATGACAAAAGAAACGTGCAGCTGTGTCAAATTATAAATTACTTTGAACAACAACAAAAAAATGAATATTCAGGGACAAATTTCACCAAACGCATATGTTTGTTGCTAATGTGAGGACAAACTATGGTATAAAACCCCAAACTGATCATTTTACTGTATATGTATTTCACCGTTCATTACATCAAGTTCTTAGAGCTACAGTTATATCAAGTTGTTAGAGCTACAGTTACCTCAAGTTGTTAGCGCTACAGTTACTTGAAGTTGTTAGCGCTACAGTTACATCAAGTTGTTAGCGCTACAGTTACATGAAGTTGTTAGCGCTACAGTTACCTCAAGTTGTTAGAGATACAGTTATATCAAGTTGTTAGAGCTACAGTTATATCAAGTTGTTAGCACTACAGTTACATGAAGTTGTTAGCGCTACAGTTACATGATATTGTTAGCGCTACAGTTACATCAAGTTGTTAAAGCTACAGTTACATCAAGTTGTTAGAGTTTGTTGATATCTGGCCTCTGGATTTGGCTATTTTGCGCAGCAGTTTCTCATATGGCATCCTGACACCTGGACAGCACAGGTCTGAAAATGTTGCAGGCATCCCTTTGTCACATCTGACTCTCTTTACAATATTATTCTTCCATCCTAAGCCCAATCGATCCAGTGTAGCTTTCTGTCTGAAACCAGGCAAGAGTAGTTTCTAAATGAGGAGTGCCATTTGTAATGCTCAGAAGAGTGGCCCAGACCCGCCAATGGCGAACACAGCAGCACTTTATGTTTTTTTTGTTGAGTTGAGTCAGGATGTGTCCAGTGGTAATGGGTTTTGAGTTGCCCCAGGACAACATACTAGCTCTTCTTCAGCAGTTACGACAATGGCCAGTCTCAACAGGGGACTTGTTGCTAACTAGAGCGACAGTAGTATGTCTGAGGAAAAACCCATCCAGACAGCAGACATTCTTGACTAACAGGCAGAAACCAGATCCAGATGCCCCCCATATAATAGCTAGAGACTCTGTTGAGATGTGAGACATTGACTCAACACTAACAATATATTAGCGTTGTGCTGATACTTGGCTGAAACATGCATTTTTAGCACCATTTATACATGGCTCTAACATGCGTGCTTCATCCTGATAATGTCCTGATCTTGTCCTGATCTTGTCCTTATCTTGTCTGTTTACACTTATAAGATCTGATAAGAATCAGATCACAATGCATCTTTTAATCTTCTACAGCTGTCTAAAATTGTGGGCACAATCAGAATGTGATCAGGACAAAGGACACATGTTAGCACTAGGTATAAATGGAGCTTGAGTTACCATCCCTAAGAAACTGGCTAAGGAAAGACAAGATACGCCTGCCTCTAAATCTCACATTGTTAACAGACCTGCACAGTTCTTTACGCACTAAAACCCATGTAGTTATCAGATATGAATTCATATAGGCTCAACTAAGAGTACTCAAATCAGCAGATATGTCAAATGCTTTATTAATATCAACAACACAAGAGGCCTAAATTAGAGGATAAATGTGTGCTGTTCTACGATCTTTGACAACCTAGGCAACCTTAAAGGCTTGTAGCTGTATCCGTGCTGGTTTATCTCTATGCAACACATTCTCATTGTTAAGGCAATAACTGTTGTATGATGTATGTGTTTTGTGAGTAGATTTTTCCTAAGATGTTAAAAAAATGTGGGTGTATAAATGTATTACTTATCGTCCAATTGTTAAAGGGAAACTCCACTCAAAAACTATATTTAGGTATTTATTTAAAAATTAGTAATAATAATATGCCATTTAGCAGACGCTTTTTATCCAAAGCGACTTACAGTCATGCGTGCATACATTTTTGTGTATGGGTGGTCCCGGGGATCGAACCCACTACCTTGGCGTTACAAGCGCCGTGCTCTACCAGCTGAGCTACAGAGGTCCACTTGATGATGCGTTTTGAATCATATGATGCATTTTGCAAGTGACACTTTGCTTCTTGAAAATCCTTTATCTTGCAAACTTGACCGCTGACATCCAAAACATTTTGGGACTGTATCAACAGTGGATTAATGAAAAAAATACCAAAGGATAGTTTTTGAGTGGAGTTTCCCTTTAATGACTCCTGGTCTTTTCTTCCCCACCCAAAAATTGTCTCTGTACAATAATCTAATAATATATTATGATATTTTTATTTTTTATTTTTGAGTTGCTTCATCTGAACTGAAATGTATGGAACAAGTGTCTATACCTCATATTATCATAGACAAGACCCAGCTCACCAGTGATGTATTTGAATTAGCATTGACTGTAAGGATATGACATACTGTATATTGTATTGTGTTGCCTGGGATGTCATTTTTCTTTCCCCCCCGTTTTACAATAAAATATAAAAATGGAGTATTTACCAAGAAGCGTATGTTCTTATAACCATTCAGTTTTTTAAGGAACATGCTACAGAATTGGCAAATAATGAGAATGGAACTACATTCTCATTAGATGCTATTTATTTAATTGCCCAATCTATGGATGCCAAAACAGAGGACAAAAGAGAACGTGCAGAAATTGTTTTTGTTGTGAATGTGAAACATGGTGGACCAAAAGTAAACTGATTTCACAATCCTATATTACTATGCCTTTAAATTAATAATAATTATTATTATTATATTATATTATTATAAATTGCATGGTTGACAAGGAGTCTGTGCAAGGTGTGAATTACAGGGGGAGACAGGGGGGCTCAGCTCCCCTGAATGAGACGTTAGCTCCCCTAAATGCAACAAAACTCAAACTTCAGGGGGTCACAAAATAATGCTAATTTAACCATTCTTCTATGTCTTTAAAATGCAGTGGTAAATATTAAAAGAAAAGCTTCGAAATCAAACGAACACCCCCACCTCTCTGTCCAACCAGGTCTCAGAGCATTTTAATTATTCTGGATGTAAATCCGGGACACTCCATTTAGTATGATATGTTATGTTTGGTATGGTTACATAAGACAGATGGTTACTTAAGGCAAAAAAGAAAGGTGGTTGCTCGGAGTGAATGGGTGGGTGTACAACGTGAACGTCTAGCAACCCAAAGGTTGCAAGTTTGAATCTCATCATGGACAACTTTAGCAATTTAGCTAATTAGCAACTTTTCAACTATTTACTACTTTGTAGCAATTTGCAACTACTTAGCATGTTAGCTAACCCTTCCTCTAACCCTAACCA